ACATAGAGGGAGAGAGAGGGAGATTATTAGATTATTACTTCATCTTTTCTCTTTCCTGAACTCCTATTACTCAGATGTTCGATCTTTTGGCTCTGTTTTTCAATGTTTCTTTTCAGTCATCATTTGTACTTTTAAAAAATCTTTTTTGTTCTATGTCCAAGCATGATTCCTCAAGTATTACTATGGAATCTTACATTTAAAACCACTAAAATTTTTTTAAAATAACTTGAGAAGACAAAAAATTTACTCTCCAATCTCTACTGTTAAAATATTTGAAAAAAGTCTACATTCTTTGAAACAAAGAAACCAACCTCCTTGCCTTCTCTTTCAAGCTGTTCTATTCTGTGTAGAATTTCTTTTGCTTTCTTCCAGTGCTCTTCAAGATTCTTTTCTTTCACATTTACATCCTTTAATTGTTCTGTTTCATTTTCATCAAAAGGATATTCTCCTAGACTTAGAGATAATTTTTCAGCTTTGTAATATGGGGAAAAAATGGTGAGTTTATCAATTACTAGAAATGTTATTTTAACACTTTAAATAAAGACAACCTCATACCCCACCACACACCTTCCTTAAATTTTGTCCATCCAGACAATCTTAACAGCTTATCTGGTACGAAAATAAGTGGAAAGAGTGCTTGGCAGAGGCCGAGGAGTCAAACAGTCATAAATTAGGTTTTACTCTTCAGAGTTACAGGGAAAAGAATACCATGAAAATACGTTATGCAAGGCACATAAACATCCTCAGGTACATAAATACTGGTTTTAAAGTAGTTGTTTCTTTAAAACAATGCTCATAAAGTGGTTCCTTCCTGTAAACTTTTAAATCCTTTCTCTTTTTTTTTTTTTAACATATTGTGTCTGCAATTTTTCTTCCACAAAGACCAAAATCCTTATCATAACCACTGTCCTCTGTACCCCAGCCACACTGGCCGGTGATTCCTTAAATGTATCAGGCTCCCTCCTGCTACAAGGCCTTTGTAACTCACTGTTGCTTATACCTGAGACACTTGCCCATAACAAATTCCTTTCTTTTCACCTAGTTAACTCTAAACATTCAGATCTCAGCTAAAAGAATCACTTCTTTCCAAAGCCTTTTCTGCTTCTAATCTAGGCCAAATTCCTTTGTTTTAGGCTCTCAAAGATCTGTGGTCCATCCCTTCATAACCTCAATATCAATTTGTAATAATACATAATCTCATTTTTGAGATTATTCAATTACTGTCTATTTCTCTAATTAAAGTAAGCTGTATGACTGCACAGTCTATTTTATCTTATCGCTGTATCCCCAGTACCTAGGCAAGGTGCCTGGCACATAACAGGAGCCCAAACATTGTTAAATAAATAAATGAATGTACATTTTTTTTTTTTTTTTGAGACAGAGTCTTGCTCTGTTGCCTGGGCTAGAGTGCCATGGAGTCATCATAGCTCACAGCAACTTCAAACTCCTGGGCTTAAGCGATCCTTCTGCCTCAGCCTCCTGAGTAGCTGGGACTACAGGCATGCACCACCATGCCCTGCTAATTTTTTCTATATAGTTTTAGTTGTCCGGCTAATTTCTTTCTATTTTTATTAGAGATGGGGTCTTGCTCTTGCTCAGGCTGGTCTCAAACTCCTGACCTTGAGCGATCCGCCCACCTTGGCCTCCCAGAGTGCTAGGATTACAGGCGTGAGCCACCGCGCCAGACCTAAATGAATGTACTTTATATTATGATTTAATAATAACCCTTACTCCTCACATTTAAGTCCTACAAACTAAATTTGTCCACATGGCATAAAATAAGTGAATTATCTGTACTGCAGCTCTCTTCCACATAGGTTTGTATATGCTGAACATACCCTAGTTGTCATGTCCAAATTATACACTCTGCTTTTCGAATGTAAGAACCACCTTACAGCTAAAAGGGCTTGGCTCATTAAAGCAGATATAAATTCCCTTTATAAACTTCAGTTGGTATTTTCATAAAGTAACAGTAAACTTACTAATTTTTTTGCAGTTGTGAAGCACAAATGTGGCAGCTTTGTTTAGTTCCTCACTCTGAGATTCAGTTAAGGCTTGTATCATGAGTGGAAGTCCATTGTTTTTAAAAAGGTCATACTGATTTTCCTCTGGAAAACATAGCAAAAATTAAAGACGGGCCAGGCGCGGTGGCTCACGCCTGTAATCCTAGCTCTCTGGGAGGCCGAGGC